AGCCACCATTTACAATATAGCTGTAACACTACATTATTTATAAGAATTTTAAGTTTTACATTTGAACTATTTAAGAAAATACATAAGGTTTGCCAAAATTTTTACAAGCTTCGTTTTTCTGCTTTTCTTCAATATATCTCTGAGCTATATCAACACCGTAAATTTCCCATATAAGAAAAAGTGATTGATGTGTTGGTGAAGGCACATGAGTAGAGGAGAGATGGGAGCAGCCAGCCATTACCACCTCAGTTTTCCATTTCATTTGGTGTTAAGAAATGACTAACATACATTTGAAAAAGTAACAAGGACAGTTTCAAAGGTGACTTACATCATGTTATTTCTCATGAGAGTAACACTGTTTCTTGGAAGTTATTGAAATACTTTGCATATTTACAAATATGTGGCAAGGTCAGGTATTGTGGTATATTCCTGTTTGCAGTGGCTTTCTTGTCTGTCAACCTAAGATTTAGATTGCATTGAATATTGTTAGTCTTGTCTAATTTTATATATACTAAATCAGCGTTTACAGAATTCCTATTTGTGGAGATTTAAAAATATTTCTCAGTATAATTTAGTCTTCTCTGCAGAGCTCTAACACAGGGCTAATGAGAACTGTTGAAAAGTTGGCAGGAATGTGTCCTCCATTCCCATCGCCCTTAAGAACCTCTGCACTTGAATGCATGATCTGTGGGAGCTTTCATTTTAAGCGTAATTGTCTTAGTCCATTTGGGCTGCTATAACAAAATATCTTAGACTAAGTAATTTTTATTATTATTATTTTTTGAGACAGTTTCGCTCTTGTTGCCCAGGCTGGAGTTCAATGGCATGATCTTGACTCACTGCAACCTCTGCCTTCTGGCTTCAAGTGATTCTCCTGCTTCAGCCTCCTGAGTAGCTGGGATTACAGGCGCCCACAACCATGCCCAGCTAATTTTCTGTATTTTTAGTAGAGATGGGGTTTCACCATGTTGGGCAGGCTGGTCTCGATCTCCTGACCTCAGATGATCCACCACACCAGGCCTAGACTGGATAATGTATAAACAACAGAAAATTATTTCTCACAGTTCTGGAGGCTGGGAAGTCAGAGAGCAAGGCTTCAGCAGATTCAGTGTCTGGTGAGGACTGCTGTCTGCTTCAGAGTTAGCACTGGTTGCTGCACTGCCCACCCCCCCGGTCCCCACCCCACATGGCACAAGGGGCAAAGGGCTTACAAGCTCCCTGGGGCCTCTTTTATAAGTACATTGATCCCATTCGTGAGGACTCTGCCCTCCTGACCTAATTACCTCTCAAAAGCTTCACCTCTTAATACTGCCATGGTGAGGAATAGGTTTCAGCAGGAATTTTGAAGGGATGCAAACATTCAGATGACAGAAGTAACTAACTCCCCAAATTGAGTATTTTTTTGTAGTCCTGATTGACTTAGGTACTTAATTGCTATTTACTGGCACACTAAATTTTTAAGAATAAGAATATTACGTTTTTAAAGGCACTGTATAATAAATATTAAACAGAAAATGTTCATCAGATTTTTGGTTGGGGTATATTGAGTTTTTGTCTTTTAAAATAAGATTTTCATTAAATGAGAAACAACACGTTGCTGAGCATTTTCTTGGTTACCATTCTACAGCATTTAGCTACCCTATGTAATAGCACTGGGGCTTTCTCCCCACTAAGCAAATACCTCATCATAAAAGATCATTGAAGGTTATATTCCTTTATAATACTTGCTCAGATTTGGGAAAGAGTGGGAAAAAAGAGAGATACATAAAAATAACAGGATATTTCTCCAGTAGTGAGGTTAGAGGAGAATTTCTGTTTTTTAATATGTAACCAAGACTAGTTGGCCTTTCCTGTTTAGCATTTTTTTCAGGTAATTTTTAATTTTTTAGTTTTAATTTTTATGGATACATAATAGTTGCAATTATTTATGGGGTACATGTAATCTTTTGCTATAAGCATGCAATGTGCAATGATCAAATGAGGATATTCACCACCTCAAGCATTTATTATTCCTTTGTGTTAGAAATATTCCAGGTAATTTCATTACAGCAAAGCCACCTCGCATTTCGTACATTAATTAGGATATGAATGAGAGCTCCAACTTGTTGAAAAGATTCCTTTGACTTTGTTGTTTTCAGGTCGGACTGTGGGAGGTACCTTCTGACTTTTTTCTTTAAGTTGTGGGTATATTCCTGGTCTCTTCCTTTTCCACTGCACCAGCTCCAGTTGTCTTCACATAAGCTTGCTGTATTCAGTCAGCCTCTCACCAGTCATTCTTGATTTTGCTTCATAACCAACTCATCATACACAGCACTGCTTTCCATTAATCGTCAGAAAAAGCCTTTCGCCAACATTACTTCCTTTGCTAAAAAGCATTAAAAGCTTCTTCATGGCCTGAAGATCAAAAACCCTGAGTGAGGGATGACTATTTTAAATTATCACTACAGTTCCCTATTCATTTCTTTTCTTCTCTGAACTCCCCAACCTTATTATCTTTACACAGTTAATCACTTGATTATGCATGATACTGTTCTTCGTTTCAACTTGTATGAGAAAGTATGGCTTTTTAAATTGAGGGATGTATTAGTCTGTTTTCACTCTGCTATAAAGAAATATCTGAGACTGGATCATTTATAAAGGCAAAAGGTTTAACTGACTCACTTTTCCGTGTGGCTTGTGGAGGCCTCAGGAAACTTAAAATCATGGTAGAAAGGGAAGCAGGCACCTTCACAAGGCGGCAGGAAAGAGAGATGAGAGTGCAGGAAAAACTGCCACTTTTAAAACCATCAGATCTCATGAGAATTCACTAGTATCACGAGAACAGCATGAGGAAAACCACCCACATGACCCGGTCACCTCCTTCCCTCGACACATGGATTACATGTCCCTCCCTACACAGGTGGGGATTACAGTTTGAGATGAGATTTGGTGGGGACACAGAACCAACACATATCAAAGGATATCAGCCATATTTTTAAAAATAATTCGTAGAGTTCAAATAGTGAAGTGAATTGAATCATATTGAGTGCATATTATCAAGATTTTTTAAAAATTACAGTTTATTTTCATACTTGTCACAAACACTCAAATATATTATTGGAGTACTATTTCAAAATACTATGTATTCAGTGAATACATAAGCATAGAACTAGGAAAGGCAGCTCACATGCTTATATGTTTATTTTTTCTATTTATTTTTATTTATTTATGTTTTCTTTTTGTATTGTGCTTTAAGTTCTGGGATGCGTGTGCAGAATGTACAGGTTTGTTACATAGATACACACGTGCCATGGTGGTTTGCTGGACCCATCAGCCCCTCATCTACATTAGGTATTTCTTCTAATGCTATCCCTCCCGTAGCCCCCTACTCCCCGACAGGCCCTGGTGTGTGATGTTCCCCTCCCTGTGTCCATATGTTTCATTGTTCAACTCCCAGTTATGAGTGAGAACACGAGGTGTTTGGTTTTCTGTTCCTGTGTTAGTTTGCTGAGAATGATAGTTTCCCACTTTATCCATGTCTATTTCTTTTTAAACCAAATCTCTAACAGTTGTGTCAAAGATGTTGAGGTATATTTCTGTCATTAAAAGACAAAAACAAAAACTTGTCTCTAATGCCTAAGTGTTTGAAATCATATTCTTATAAAATATGAGGCAGCCTGGGCAACATAGTGAGACCCGCGCCCCCCCCCCCCGAACAGAAAATTAAAAAATTAGCTGAGCATGGTGACTCACACATACAGTCCCGGCTACTCTGGAGGCTTAGGTGGAGAATTGCAACATGGGGGTTGCGCCACTGCAGTTCAGCCTGGGTGACAGAGTGAAACCTTGTCTCAAAAGACAAACTCTCTCTCTCTCTCTCTCTCTCTATATGACATTTCTCTGTTCTTGTTAAGTTTTAATGATTTTTCATCTCAGAAAGCTTAAAATTTACCATCTTAAAGTGAAATAACAGTTAAGAGGGAGAAAGGAGGTAAAAATGCTTTTATTCTCTTTAACGTTTATTTATTTACTCTGTGGTTGGCACAGTTGCTCATTTATTTCCACAACAAACTCAAGAGATATGGAATGTCCCAAATTAGGAGATAAAGGAAACTGGGTACAAGATCATAGATCTTGCAAACAGTAGTGCTCTTCATAGACACTGGCTGATTTCAGAGCCTCTGTACTCTGTCATGATAAAGCCTCCATCATCACTAAGGACATTTAGTAAATGAAACAATTTTAAAAGTGAGTAAAACAATGAGATTATTAGCAATAAATTATGGTATAGTGCTACTAACAGTTTTTGTCAGATGAAATGGCTGCATCTGCTATTTTGGAAACCGTGAAACCTATCGAAAAGTTGAAATAAAGTACTAAAATCATACACCCTGTACCTAGATTCAGCATTAGTTAATATTTTTTTATTTTTGCTTTGTCTTCACACACACACACACCCCCCCCACAACTCACTCTCTCTCTCACTTGAACATGAATTTCTTTAAAATAAGGATTGTCCTTATTATACCTATGAAATTTGACATTAACTCAATAATATTATCAGTTGTCCATTCTGTATTTCCCCATTTATCCCAAAACTGTGTTTTATAGTTGGATTTCTAAAAAATTTCCTTCTTCAATTCAGTATTCAGCCAGGGTTTCTGTTTTGTCTTTGCTTTGTTAGTCTCTTTTAGAGATGCTGAGAAGAAATGCTTTCATTGGTATCTTTTTGTGTTGTTTGCTTTTTAATCCCTTGAAGTTTTTGAAGGGTTCCAACCAGTTATCTTTAGAACGTCCCACCCAACTTTGAATTTGTCTGCTTGTTTCCTCAGAATTAGATTCACCAGAATTTATCATGTTAAACATTTTTCACAGTGATATCACATCTGTGATGTTGTATAATTCTGCTAACACCGTATCAAAAGGCACCTAATGCCAACATAAAGTTTATGATATATAAATTTGTAATTGGCAGCAACAAAGACTTAATTGCTTGACTTATTTTTTCATTTTTCAAATAGACAACGACTGAAAGACCTTTCATTCAGAAGCTCTTTCGTCCTGTGGCTGCAGATGGACAGTTGCACACACTAGGAGATCTTCTCAAAGAAGTTTGTCCTTCTGCTATTGATCCTGAAGGTAATACAATGAGCAACATTAAAACATTTCTTTCATTTTCTGTTACTGAAGTAAAATAAGCATTCCACATTTATAAATAACAGGTTATTTCAGGAAGATATTTTCGTATCTTATGGTAAAAAGTCTTTTCAAACAGAAGCACTTAATATTTAATATATTATTTTGTAAATTATTGACTAACAAAACGAGGACTCGACTCTCTGGCAAAACAGAATAAATACAGTTTTTAAATCACCCTCTTAGGACATCTCTGGTACTCTGGTTTTTAATTTATGGATTCAGTTCTGATAAATACTACTTTTAATCTTGCATTTTGTTTATTAACTTTAAAGAAGTCAGAAATGGTAAAAATAATTTTCTTATTTTTGATATTTGAAAGTCGGTAATACTGAATAATTGATGAGTATTTTATTTGAATTTTCTACTACTTTCTACTTTTTCTTTTTTAGTTAACCTTGTTCTTTTAGGCTTTGACAATCTACAGGTTCATTCAAAAACTTGATCTGTTTCATGGCCCTAATTTTGTAACTTAGGTTAAGGGTGTTTTCCTGCATGCAGGGGACAAATTTTTAAATTGCTGAAATCTGTTTTTCTTTATTACAACATACAGAACACCAAGAAAATGCAGAAAACAATAAAACAGTGCCCATAATCCATTAACTGATAGAGACCACTGTTGACAGACAGACAGACACACACACACACACATACACACTTGAATACATGAGATATACATATGTATTTAATACAGTTGGCCCTTCATATCCATGGGCTGCACATCATGCCCACAGCAGATAAAAAATATTTGGGAGAGAAAATGGATGATTATGTCTGTACTGAAGATAAACAGACTTTTTTTTTTCTTGTTATTGTTCCCTAAACAATACAGTACAAGTATTTATATCGATTTAGATTGCATTAAATATTACAAGTAATCTAGAGATGAATGATTTAAAGCATACATGTGCGTAGGTTATATGCAAATATTATGCCATTCTGTATAAGGGACTTGAGCATCAGTAGATTTTGGTATCCTCAGCGATCCTTGAACCAATCCTTCATGAATACCAAATGACCACAGTGTGTGTGTGTGTGTGTGTGTGTGTGTGTGCGCGCGCGCGTGCGTGTGTAAAATGTCCTGCTGCTCTTGAATCCCAGCCCTATTAATACTTACTAAACTATAGGGGAAATTTTCAGTGGCATATTACAGTATTGACATAAAAATTGCATAGAGTTATATTTATTATATAACAGATTTTTTTTTTAAAACTTTAAAGCCATGAAGGAAAGAGGTAATGAATTAGTATATATGAAGGTAATACTTTAACAGATAATGCTTCTTATGAATGTATTCTGAATTGGAGGAATGCAGTATTACTTGCATGACATATACCACACAGTTCATGAAGAATGATGCATCTAAGGAAATCGTTTGCCTAAGTAGTAGAATTAGAAACAGTGGGTTTGGGGGTAATGTTGTAGTATTCCAGCCTAAATGACTAAGCAAAGAATATGGAGCCCAAAATATGTGTCATTCAGCCTGAGAATGTTGCGATTTTCCTTAGTCAAGTATGCTTGCCTATACTAGCATTCCTACATGTATATAACGCTTTAAAAATGAACAGAGATTCAATAGGAAGGGGAAGGGCATCTAAAATAATACACCAATACCAGAAGGGATTGAAGGAAGAGACCACTGACTGCTACCCAAAATTATTAAAACTGAACAGGGTTTAAGAGGTTATAAATACATTTTATAAAGTCTTCCTTGAACTTTACTAGCCTTTATAGTAAGGTTTCTGATGATGTCTTACACATATCCATGTATCTCTAGTGCTGGGGTAAATGTTTGCTAAACAATCCAGTTACTGAATTCTTTCTATCATTACCATGAAACGTATTATTTACGATCATTAAATCATGGAGCAATTAACATTAAGTTGATTATAATACTATCTTAGAATTCAAATCCATCTTTTCTACTGTGTAATTTTAGCTTTCAATAAGAGTTTTAGTTAAATAATTTTTTTATAATTTAATGATTTTTTAGTAAATTTATAGAGTTGTGCAACCATCACCACAATTTGGTTTTTGGAACATTTCCATCTCCTTGTACTTCCTTGTAGCTAATCTCTGCTCCACTGCCAGCTATAAACAACCACTGGTCTGCTTTCTATCTCTATAACTTGCCTATTTGGATATTTCACATATATTGAATCATACAACATAGAGTCTTTTGCAACTATGTTTTTCCACTTAACATTATGTATTTGAGTTGCATCGATATTGAAGCAAGTGTCCATAGTTTGTTCCTTTTTATTGGTGACTAATACTCCATTGGGTAGATACGTCACATTTTGGTTCTCCCTGTACCAGGTGATGGGTGTTTGGACTGTTTCCAGCTTTTCACCTTTATAAACAGAGCTGCTAGGAACATTCAAATATGGGTCTTTTTGTGGACGTTTGTTTTCATTTTTCTTGGGTAGCTTCCTAGGAGTGGAGTGACAAGGTCATATAGCAAGTTTATTTTTTATTTTAAAAGAAACTGCTAACCTTTTCCAAAGTGACTGTACCATTTTACAGTCTTACCAGCAGTGTGTAAGAATTCCAGTTTCTCCACATTCTCACTCACATATATTACCATCCTAGTGGTATCTCATGATGATTTTAATTCTCATTTTTCTAATTACTAATGGTATTGAACACGTTTTCATGTGCTTATTATAATTTGTAGATCTCTTTGATGAAGTGTCTATTCAAATCCTTTTCTTGTTTTTTTCATGGATTATTTCCTTATTACTGAGTTTTGAGCATTATTTATATATTCTGGATACAAGTTCTTTATCAGACATACAATTTGCAGATATTTTCTCCTACTCTGTGACTTGCCTTCATTTTCTTTCTCTCTTTCTCTCTCTCTTTTTTTTTTTTTTCCCCAGACAGGGTCTCACTCTGTCGCTCAGGCTGGAGCGCAGTGGTACGATCTCGGCTAACTGCAACCTCTACCTCCGAGTTCAAGTGATTCTTGTGACTCAGCCTCCCTAGTAGCTGGGATTACAGGTGCCTGCCACAATGCCCGGCTAATTTTTGTATTTTTGGTAGAGACAGGGTTTCACTAGGTTGGCCAGACTGGTCTCGAACTCCTGACCACAGGGGGTTCAACCGCCTCAGCCTCCCAAAGTGCTGGGATTACAAGTGTGAGCCACCACACCCAACCTTGTCTTCATTTTCTTTTGAAGGATAAAAGCATTTAATTTTGGTGAATTCCTATCACGTTTTTTTTTAATGGATTGTGTTCAGTTAAATAATTAAAACTTTTTCTCTTATAGACAATACATTTACATATTTTAAACATCAAAGCATATATAAAGGAATTTAGTAAAAAGTCTCTTTCCTAACTGCTGCTCACCAAACTCTAACCTAGTTCCCTTTTCTAGAGACAACCAGTGTTGCCATTTTCCTGTATATCTTTAGAGACAGTTAAGTAAACTTTTTATTTTTGAACTCAAGCTACATAAATTTTGACTAAGTAACTCATAACTTCTGAGAAATTCCCAGAAATTCAAGAATAAGCTTACTTTTTTAGTTCATTTTCTCTGTGTTATAAGGTGGTTTGTTTTTGATCTATTTAATGTCTATTTTTCTGTGTTTTTGAGGATTTTGGAATATAGATGAGTTATTTTCGTTTGAAGTGTAATTAAAAAGTTAATAGTTTTTATTGCTGATAGAGATACACCCCATAAACCTCTTTCCTGTCCATGGCAACGTTGGCTTTCAGTTACTCAGTTCTCTGTATTGTGTTTTTTCCCTTTCTGAGTACTTTGTAATAGTACTTTAAAGAACATTAAAAAAACTAGATGCTGTCTTAGTCTGTTTGTGTTGCTATAAAGAAATACCTGAGGCTGGGTAATTTATAAAGAAAAAAGGTTTATTTAACTCACAGCTCTGCTGCCTGGATATTGGGCATCTCATGAGATCCTCAGGCTGCTTCTACTCATGGTGGAAGCTGAAGGGAAATGTGTGCAGTGGTCACATGGTGAGAGAGGAAGCCAGAGAGAGCAGGGTGGTGCCAGGCTCTTTATAATAACCAGCTCTTGTGGGAACTAAGACAGTGAGAACTCACTCACTCCTCCACACCCAAGGAGGGCATTAATCTATTCATGAGGTATCCACCCCCCACCCCCGACCCAAGTACTCCCATTAGGCCCCATTTCCAACTTTGGGGATACAATTTCAACCTGGGGTTTGGCGGGGACAAGCAACGAAACTGTAACAAATGCTTTTGTCAATTAGGAGTAAATGAAATTTAAGCCAGAGTTTAATATTCAAATAACTACCTTTTTAAAAAACAAGAGGCGAGGTCTCACTGTGTTGCCCAGGCTGGTCTTACATTTCTCACTCAAGTGATACTACCACTTTAGCTTCAGAAAGTACTCGGATTGTAGGCATGAGCTACTGCACCCAGCCTCAAGTGACTACCTTATTGCACTTTTCCTAGATGTTATTTTGACAATCTACTTTTTAAAATATGTCATTTTAAATTTACTTTTTTATAGCATCCTTGACTATAGAATGAGAACATCCCAATGAAACCCAAAACCTTGGCAGGAATATATTCTATAATGATCTGTCCCCTAACAGCAGCACAATTGTCACAGACACCAAATGATCCATATTTGCTAGTCCCAAGTTTATATAAGGTGGTCTCCCTTGATACATTTGTGTTTTATCTGTAAAAATTAAAGTTAACAGTTGCTTTGTAATCCAGGAAAGAGGGCTTACTTGAAATTTTTTGTTGTTTATTTTGTTAATGACAAATTTATTAGTTCAATTCATTTTTATTTCATGGTTGCCAATTTCTAGTTTGTGGGTGTGATTAAGGAGTGCCTAGAGTAGGAAGAAATTAGTTGGGTGTTAATACTGTATTTTATGTCTTTAAAGAATTGTATAACTGTAGAACTTTCAAGTTACCTTTTTTTTTTTTTTGGAGACAGATTCTC